CCATAGCGTGAATCACTGTTGCCAGGTCATTGCGTTCGAGGAAGGGAACCAACTGCCTAATCAGCCGCAGATGGTAAACGGCCGCCTTGGCAGTGGCTGCTACCTGGGCCTCCATTGTTAAGGTGGCATCCAGGAGCACTCCCAAGCTCCTAACCCTCGGCGCCGGCACCAACGGCGCCCCGTCGAAGGTCGGGAGTGGGATCCCTACCCCTGGTCCACTCCGACTCAGGCACAGGACCTCCGTCTTCATTGGATTCAATTTCAGTCGACTCAGTCTAAGCCAGCCTGCCACGTCACAAAGCGCCCGCTCCAGGTCATCTGGGTTAAAATCGGACTGGCCGCCCAACAACAGATATAGCTGGGTGTCATCTGCGTATTGATGACACCCTAGCCTGTGCCTTAACCCCCCACCCTCTAGGCATTACCTTCTATTTCTTGACAGCTTCAGTCACACACACACAACTCACCACGTGTGCCTGCTCGGCCCCCCACTAGCCTCCTCCTGCTTCCCTCCCCCACAGCAGTGGCTCGCGGGCCAGGCAAGAACCCCGGACGGGCCAGTTTGTCACCCCGGCAATATACCCTCCCGCAGCCGGCCATATTTACAACCCTCTGTGGCGCTTTCTCTCTCTCTCTCGCTGCAGGAGGTGAATGCCTTAGAATGTGAGATCCAGCTGCTGAAAACCCTCCGCCACGAACGGATCGTTCAGTATTACGGCTGCTTGCGAGACCCCGAGGAGAGGAAACTGTCCATCTTTGTGGAATACATGCCAGGGGTAAGTGGTGCTCTCCCCAGACTGTCGCCACTAAAAAACTCGGGGTGACTGTGCAGGACACGTATTCCCCGTGGGGAAGCTCTGGTTTGTACGCATGGGCTCCCCAATGCAAGCCCGGCCAGACAAGGACAATATGCTGGTAATCGTATGTGTGAACCACCCCGGAATTGTCTCCACTCGCCCCTAAGTAGATACAGGAATGACCCTCTATCAGTCCTCCAATCTGGCGGTCAATCATCCGCTATTCTCTTGCATAAAATTAAAGTAAGTGTTGCTGGCATGTCTCACGTGGGTCCTTTCCACACTTGGATCTCATCCCTGGTTTTATCAGAGTTCAGCTCGCGACACAATATCTTGCATTTATCCCTGGTTATAACAGCATCCGTTTATCCCGGGACAAGTGTGGGGCGAAACTGGGGTGACCTCAATGTACTGTGGAAACCAAAAATATCCCGAGATAATTACAGGGGTGCACTCGTGTTTAGTGCAGAATGTAAGTTTGGGGACAGGGTTGGACCAGGATTTAAGGTCCAGTGCGGAAAGGACCTTGGTTAGATACTGAGGCCTTCTTCTCCTGCACGCGTAGGGTTCCATCAAAGACCAGCTGAAGGCCTATGGAGCTCTGACGGAGAACGTCACCCGGAGGTACACCAGGCAGATCCTGCAAGGAGTGTTCTACCTGCACAGCAATATGATTGTACACAGAGATATCAAAGGTAGGTGGAAACCAGATGGGGACTTTCGACTTGTATGAAGTTGCTTAAGGGGTTGAGGCCGTAGCAGAGTCAAGATGCACCCACCTTTGTGGGCCCCGGGAGCCGTTGGGGCACATTGGACCTATTGAAACCCTCTGAGCAAAACTGTAATGCAAAAAAAAAAAAAGAAGAAGTATATTAATCCTACATTTCCAGCATCCTGTCTGAGAGTTGCCATTGGCTGAGCTGCTTCAAGGTCATGGAATGGTGACAGACATTCCAACTGCTAAGTGGAAAGAGTTGACTGTAGTACAGTTCCTCAGGTTTGCTGGACAGTGCCTGGCAGCCGGTGGGAGGATTGTGGGGGGCAGCATCGTGGGAGAATTTAATACAGCCCTGTGTACTTACAGGAAGTTCTTACCGGATGTGACAAAAAGGCAGCCAAAACCATAGTTTCCAGTGACTCCTAGAGCCGCCCTTTGCCACATAGTGTTTCTAGTGATTCCTAGAGCTGCCCGGGAAGTGATAAAGGGTAAATCTAAGAATCGTCAGAAACCGTAGGGATTGAACCTGGCACCGTACGAAGGCAGAGCAGATGCTGTGCTTTTATGCACTCCAGCCCTTCAAGGGAGACTGGGCTTTTCCACACTCCTAATTTCGTCTTGTATGCCATATTACATCTTTGTTTTCCCCCTTTTCCACTTGTGTTTTGCTCCCTCTAGTGGTTGCTTCAATACTGCATCCCTGTACCTGTGGCCTAAAAGTGCAGGGAAATAAGCCGCAGAGGCTGCAATGTAATATTGAAGCGACCACTAGAGGGAGCAAAACACAAGTGGAAACGAAAGAAAAGACCCAACAGGGGCACACAAGCGACAAAAATAAGAAAAGGCCACTGTGTGCTGCAGGAGGCAGTAAGAAGTTGGTGGGTTTGGAAGAGCCACTGCCCATGAGACTATTGCCTATGGCAGGGAGCCCCAGAACGGTATCTGGGGGCACCACTGTGGTTTCCTCATGCCCATTTGTCTCGTGAGGATAAATGCAAAGAATCTTCAGTGGAGTGGAGAAAAAACAGGGAGTCTTTCTGTACCAGCTGACAGATTAGGAAACCACTGGATTCATTCTGAGAAGAAGTATCATAACCTTTCCTCCACAGCTTAGCTATAGTCACAGATTTCTTACGCCTCTGGACTCGGAAACCTCTTCCAGAGGTCACGGAGGGAGCAAACACACCCTTCCTTTGGAAAATGATCCCCCCCCCCCAAATTCGTAGACTGTCACTGTGGAGGCCAGTTTGGTGTAGCGGTTAGGAGTGCGGACTCTAATCTGGGAGAACCGGGTTTCATTCCCCACGTCTCCACGTGCAGCTGCTGGTGTGACCTTGGGCCAGTCCCAAGTTCTGTCAGAGCTGTTCTCTCAAGGGCAGTTCTCGGGAGAGCTCTCTCAGCCCCACCTACCTCACAGGGTGTCTGTTGTGGGGAGGGGAAGGGAAAGGAGTTCGTAAGCCGCTGTTGAGACTCCTTTGGGTAGTGAAGGGCGGGGTATAAATCCAATCTCTTCTCTTCTTCTGTCGCTCCGCAGTTTCTCAAGGGAGGCCGATGGAGGCTGGGGGTGGGAAGTCCTCCGCTGGGCCCAAGAATTTGGGATGCCTACACCCACTACCCTTTCCTAAGACTTCCGAAAAGATTGCAAGATTGCTCTGTTCCAGGGGGCGGTGGGGGGAGAGGTTAAGTAGACCTGGCCATGTCGAACTCCGTGTGATCCTTTTTAACTGTGTTTGATTGTGTATCAGTTTTCAGTCGTTGGACACTTGTGAGGTCTGAGTCCTATGATTCCCCCCCCCCGTTTTGTTAGCAACCTTGAGTTTTCCTGGATAAGGTAGGGTGTCATTATTTTAATGGGACTTGGATGGCCCAGGCTAGCGGAGTCTCATCGGATCTCGGAAGCTAAGCAGGGTCAGGCTCGGTTAGTACTTGGACTGGAGGCCACCGTGGAGGTCCAGGGTTGCTACGCAGAGGCAGGCAGTGGCAAACCCTGAGTGGCCCAGGGCGAGCCCGGTCTTGTCAGCTCTCGGAAGCTAAGCCGGGTCAGCCCTGGTTAGCATTTAGATGGGAGACCACCAAGGAAATTCAGGGTTGCTGCCCAGAGCCAGGCAACGGCAAACCACCTCTGTTTGCCTCATGACTTAAAAACTTTTTGGGGTTGCCATAAGCCGGCTGCGACTTGCCAGGGTCCCTGTTCAACATCAAGGGCCAGGCTATTTGATTTAAAGGAGGGATCTGTTTTGTGTTTGGTACAGGACAGTTCAGCGGTAATATCTTCTTTACGGATGACACTAGTCACGGCGCCCAAATGGATTTCTTCTTGGGCTTTTCCCAGCGTGGTGTAGTGGTTAAATATTTTATTTATTTATTTATTTATTCAGGTATTTCTACCCCGCCCTACCCCGAGGGCTGCTGGGAGCAGGGGGTGGGGCTTGTTGCATGTGCCCGCCCCCTGGGCTTTTTACTGCCGGAGCTCCGCTCCTGTGCGCTCCTGTAGGAAGTGACCCCTGGATGGGAGACCACCAAGGAAATTCAAGGTTGCTGCACAGAGCCAGGCAACGGCAAACCACCTCTGTTTCTCTCATGACTTAAAGACTTTTTGGGGTTGCCATAAAGCCGGCTGCGACTTGACGGGGTTCCTGTTCAACATCAAGGACCATGCTATTTGATTTAAAGGAGGGATCTGTTTTGTGTTTGGGACAGGACAGTTCAGCGGTAATATCTTCTTTACGGATGACACTAGCCACAACGCCCAAATGGGTTTCTTCTTGGGCTTTTCCCAGCGTGGTGTAGTGGTTAAAGGCAGTAGACTCTAATCTGGAGAACTGGGTTTGATTCCCCACTCTTCCTCCACGTGAAGCCTGCTGGGTGGCCTTGGGCTAGTCACAGTTCTCTCTCTGGACTCTCTCATCCCCACCTGCCTCACAAGGTTGCCTGTTGTGGGGACAGGAAGGGGAGATTGTAAGCCGCTTTGAGACACATG